TCACAGCTATCTATTAGGTTGTCAGGAAATTCATGACGTATTTTTCTATATAAAAATGCATCATGACTTTCCAGACAACCCAATATAATGTGTTTAGAATAATTATAGACTCTCTTAAAAAAAAGAAAGAAAGAAAAGAGCATAGATTTTGAGATTTCTGAGGTAAGAGGAACCCACATGCAGTTTGCCAAAAGAAGGCTAAAAGCACTTCAGGCAGGGATCCTGAAAAAGAATGAAGAGAAAAGAAATCTACCTCCATATCCAGCTGAAGTGACTGACATTAAAAAAAAAAAAGATATTTCAAGTCAGAGTTTGTGAAAAGATGGAAAAATGAGTCACTAGTCTAGAAAGTAGAAGTCCAAAGGTAACAGGCTTTTGTGTCACCACTAGTAGAGCAAGAGAGAGTCATTACATTCCAATAGTTTATCTCATGACTCTAAACCATTTTGTCAAGTTAGCTTCAAAAATGGTATAGAAAATACTTGAGAGACTTTTGTTTGAGAAAGAAAAGTGAGGAGGCACCCTTGACAGGGTTTCTCACACCATACTCCTCCTCCCCCAGCGCTCCAGCTGGTCAGGAACTGGGGTGCACACCCAGTGTGTTTCAGGTCTACTTCGGATCCAAACCTCCTGTCAACTATGTGGCTTCCAACACTGCAGATTAATGCACTGTATCCTGAACCACTGTGGGTAGGCCCTTTTTGTCTTTTGATTTTTTTTTGTCAAGTAGGGCCCTAAAGTAATCCTAGAATTGCCATTTCATGATTCTTGGCCTCCTTTCAGTCTTCTCTCAGCATTAGTAAGTCACACCAGGAATCAAGCCTTTGGGGGTTAGACTGTGGATAATTTGTTTTCTTAATAGATGGAATGTCTTTTGGCAGAGTTCTGGCTCCAGTGGCTAGAAGCTGCCAGTGGTGATACCATGATTCATAAAGTAAGATGTTTATGTTTATGATAAATCATACATCCTTTCTTTTCATATAATAATAATCTGTCTTCTGAGCTGGCCCCATAGTGTAGCAGTTAAGCTCTATGCAGAGGGAACTGATCCCCATGTGGCCAACTGTGGTTCAAATCCTGGCCCTGGTGGCTCGAAAAATATGCTAGGTATATGTATGTACATTTTCAGGAGGAAAAATAGAAGAAAAAGGATGCAGTATAATAAGACCTTGCTGGGGAGTGCTTTCTCTTTTTCTTTCTCTCTCTCTCTGTCTCTGGTGAGTGCATGTGCCCTCCCTCTTTCAATTAAAAAAAAATTGTCTTCTTTATGATTTCTCATTCTAGGCAATTTTGGCAGTTTTGAATCACATTAAAATGTTTTTTTTTTTATTATATCACAGATTGTCAGTCAAAATAAAATACCAAAAATCTGTGACTGCCAATTTGAATCATCCTGTATTTTTCCTTCTTTAGAACACACAAATTTTTATGTATTCAAAAGCAAATCATATACCTTTTAAAAATGAGGGACCTGCAGATGGTGTAATGGTTACATTGCTGGATATCCACATCGTTGACCACAGTTCGAGTCCTGGACCCAGCAACTTAAAGCTCAACACCAGGCACATGTGCATGTGTACCCGAGATCCCTAGAGGAGAATGGAGAGGAGGGATGCAGTGTGGCCATCCCCTCTGGGGAGTGATTTCTCACTTTCTATCTCTCTGTCTCTCTGGTGAGTGCACGCTCTCTAAAGCAAAAATCTCTCTCTTAAAAAAAAAAAGAATTTGGTAGGGATATGAAACATCATTTGGTATAGTAATTCTTAAAACTGGCTAATCATTGCTAGTCACCTGAAAAACCTGAAGAAAAATTCAGAGATTCTAGGGCCTAGGGCCTCACCCTGGAGTTGAATTAGACTGGGAGAAAGGTGAACCCATGAGAACAGAACAAAAGCATCTGGCAAAGGAGAAGATGTGATTGACCATCTGTCTTCAAATATGAAAAAGATCATATAAGGCCAATGGAACAAGTTGGACATAAAGAATTTGTATTAAATTGCAGTAAATGGGACTTCAGTAATAAAGAGTTACATAAAGAGAAAGATGGCAGAATGTATATTACTGGACATTTTTAAAAGTTGGTTTTAATGGTTTGGTCATTGACTTTTCTGGAAGAAAAGGTCTATCAAGGCAAAATCTCCTTAGCCTGTCTATGCTATTTTCAGAATCTAAAATGACAGGATTAGGTTTTAGGTTAAACTGCTTAATATACAAGAAGACTCCAAAATAGTAAATAAGATAAAATGTTTTCTTTGTCACCTCTCTCAGGGGTAGGCAGATCAGAAACTTAGAACGTGTGCATCATCCGTGAGACACTTTTTGGAGATCACCTTTATCCGTTCTGCTGCGAGGTGGTGGTGAACGGATCGGGTAGTGTGCCTCATTCCTTTTCAGGAACACCACCTTAGACCTTGCATGTATCACTTGCATTCTATCCCTTCAGCCAGAAGGAGGATTATGCCCCTCTAAGCTATAAAAAGGCTGAGAAATGTCATTTTTATCTGGATAGTTATGTGGCTGGCTAAAACTGGGGAATTATAATATTAAACAGGAGAGAATGAAAATAAGAGAATAGTTGTTTTAAAAAAAAGACAATGAATGTGATGGACAATTAGGATTCTCCGTCACAGCATGAATAAAGGTACTTTTGTTATTTTTGTTTTGTTCTCTTTCTTCCACGAGATGGGGAGACAGAGAAGAATGGGGAGACATCCTCAACAGGGTCCTCACACCATGGCCCCACCCCCAGGCCCAGTCAGCCGGCATCACAGGCACAGGTTTGCCTCGTGTGTACGGAGACCTCAGGACTCCAGCCCAGACCCTTAGATGACCTCAGCAACATGGAGTGCTGCATTACCACTGCACCAGCGAGGCAGGCCTGAGAAAGGGTTTCAGTATTTGGACATAAACGTAATGTGACAAATTTAGGTACTTTAGTAGGGTTATTGATTTATAATTGCTTGATATTTACATTTTGTTAAGTGAAAGTAAAAAGACCTATGAGCAAACCTTCTGATTCATTCATTCTTATCTAGGAGATTTTCTTAGCAGCTCTCATAACATTTCATTGAGATGACTAGAGCTAGTTTGCAGTAGGTGAATAGTTATCTAGAGATCTTTTTCCTTTGTTAGAAAACCTAGCACACGGTTAGACAAGTTCTCTTGAATGTAAAAATTATCTTGAAAATGAACTCTCTAAACTTTTGAAGAAGTAGGCTTCGTGCTGAGCTTTCCAGAATAGTTCTTACGATACAGATCTGCAGGAGCAAGGGGGCTGCCGCTGGCACTGACACTACTGCTGACTCAAGAATCAGTGTTTCGGCCCCACGCAGGAAACGGTCAGATGTGGCAGCTGCCACCACAATTACTAATCACCCACTTGATGGTGGCGTACTAGACTCTAGAGACTGCCTCATGCACCCGAGGAAAACAAGCATCACAGCACAGGCTCCCAGAAGAGCCAATGGCTGCTGTTTCATCATGCCCATTTCTCCATCAACGTGCTGTGAAGGGACGTCAGCTTGGTGAATGCCATCATTAACAAGAAACCCTGGCTGCAAGAAAGTCTGGGGAACACACTTCAGCCTTTTAGCCCCAAGTGTACCGGTAGGCTAGAAGCAGTTTGGAATTCTGCAGTATTTGCCTCACAGGGCTTCAGATCAGTATCTGTTTGTTTTCTGCCTTTGCACCTGCATTTGAGTATTGGCCTTTCTGGGAAAAGTAACTGGTTCAAATGGTATCATTTTTTAAATTTAGAATGCTTGAGGGTGAAAGTTATTATTCCCAGGAAATTTGCCCCAAACCACAAATTTGGTGCCTCTCCTGGAAGTTTCACTGTATGATAATCAAAATTGTCATGAATTTTAGCTTGCACCGTTTCCAGAAATAAGTAAGTTAAAAATTGCAACTGTCAAATGGTTCCAAATTGCTATTACTATTCATTATCAGAATTGTTCTTTTCCTTATAATAACACAAGATTTTTTTTGTCAAGTAAAAAAGGCAGTAATTAGGGCATTGAAGTAGCAGATGAATTACAAAAACATTATTTTCATTAAATCATTTCCAGAAGAGGAATCTCAGGGCCATCAGGTGGGATAATGGTTACTTGCTGGACTCTCACATAGTTGACTGGGGTTTGAGTCTTGGATCTTTCAGCTTAAAACTCATGCTGGGCACGTGTGCGTGCATGCCCAAATTCCTGAGAGGAGAATAAAGGAGAAGGGATTGCAGTGTGTCCATTCTGCCTGGGGATGATTTCTCACTTTCTGTCTTTCTGTCTCTTTGTCTCTCTGGCAAGCACTTGCACCCTATAGCAAAAATATCTCTTAAAAAAAGGGGGGAATTTCTTCTTTTTTTTTTGAGAGATTTTTTCTTTATTGCATGAGCTAGCCAGAGAGACAAAGAGATAGAAAGACAGAAAGTGAGAAATCTTCCCTCCACACACACAGGGAGGATGGCCATGCCACAATCCCTTCTTCTCTATTCTCCTCTTGGGATTTTGGGCACGGATACACATGCCCAGCATGATTTTTAAGCTACCCAGTCTGAGACTCAAACCCCGATCTACTACATGGGAGTCCAGTGATGTAACCATTTCGCCATCTGCTGGTCCCAAGAGGAATCTCTTCTACTGCAGCAGATAGGAACAGCATTGTGTAAAAAAATAGTATATTATCAAAATTAAAATTTCTCTTTGTATTTTTGGCTAATGCTCTGTTATTATTAACAACTCCAACATTTCAGTGACATGCAACAGTAATTATTTCTCTCACATTGGGTTAGATGGGACAGCTGTGATGATATTGACATGTAAATATTTGTTAAAAGAATGAATGAAATACAACTCTGGCAATTGGAGACGAGGTCTTAAGAATAGCTATAACATATAGTACATAAAAATGTTAAGCATAAATACTGGTAACATAACTGATGTTCTGAAATTTTTTTGACCCACACACATTTGGCTGATTTTTTGTTTCTGTTTATTTGATTTACCTAGGGACGTGCTTCCTTAACTCAAGAGAAAGAGGAGTTTGCTCATGAACATGAAGAAATGAAGAACCTAGAAGCCATTGTTCAAGATATAAGACCAACTGCCCTCATAGGTGAGCTTTGTCCTCCCCTCTCTCACATCTCCCTATCCCTCATCTTGACCTGATTGATTTCCTTACAATAGCTTTTCAGGCATGTTTAGCTTTTTTTGAAATTCTAAGCCTTGTAATCATTAACAAAATCATACTTTACTCAAGTAACTATAATAGCCCGTAAACACCTGGATTTGTAAGTTCAGCACTGTCATCTTATTCTTACTGATTCTAGCTGAAGTGTGTGATCTCTGCTAACTCAATCAGCCTGTTAATTCCTGCCATATTCAGTATATTTTCAGGCTTGATTACCCCAGATGGATAGTGGTTCTCAAATAAAAAGTTTGCACCCACCCTCTTTCACCCTTGCCCCAGGAACATTTGGCAATAACTAGAGACTAGTTTAGTTGTCATACATGGCTGGTGGGGAGGGGCTGTGCAGAGGAGAGTTGGGGTGGAAGGAAAAGCTACTGCTCTCTAGTGGACAGAGGCCAGAGATATTGCTAAACTCTACAGTGTGCAGGACAGCCTCTGCCACAAGGAATCAGCTCACAATATCAGTAGTGTCCAAGTTGAGAAACACTGAACCAGACTACTAGAAGGGGAGGACCATATCTCGCATATCTTTATACTCCTCATCGCATTGAACCCAGTACTTACATACTGCATATGCATACCCAGATATCTAACACGGTCAAAAGTAATATAATTGAAAAAACTCAAAGGAAACTTTTTCTATCCTTTATTTTGTGTGTACACAATATCATCTTTACTTTGTATCATACTGGATTTCTAGAAATTATTGTGAAACAGATGATGATCTTAAGGATAATGATGATCTCTATGATTAAAAATTACATGCTTTGGGAACCAGCAGTTGGCGTAATGGCTATGTCGCTGGACTCCCACGTAGTCGACTGCGGGTCACGTCCTGGACCTGGTGGCTTAAAACTCACGCCGGGCGCGTGTGCGTGCGTGCCCAAGATCCCGAGAGGAGAATGGAGGAGAAGGGATTGCTGCGTGACCATCCCCCCTGGGGAGTGATTTCTCACTTTCTGTCTCTATGTCTCTCTCTGTCTGGTGAGCGCACATGCCCTATAGTGAAAACCTCTCCAAAAAAAAAAAAAAAATTACATGCTTTAAGAAAGGAACTTCACAAAGGTCCTAGTGTTACAAAATGTTCTTGCAGTAATCTTACTGTTTTTCATTTTCCATTATACTAATTGCTTTATTCTTCCTTAGAATTCTTTCAATGATTGAAACTTTAATTTTGCATTTGAATGATTATCTTGAATGCTAACATTAGTTTATAAAACATAATTGCTTTATACCCTAACAGCCTGTCCTATACGCTATGGAGCTGCTTTTAGAAGAATCTATTAATCTACTTGTAGATTAGTAACCCTACAAATTATGGGCATCAACAACTTCTCTCTTTTTACCCGTTAAACTTGAAGACAAATCTACATTTTGTTTGGGATCTGTTGGCTCATTGTTAGTGGGCATAGGTACCTTGGATGAATTAACCAATGACAGTCCTAATCACTGCTTTCTCATGTCTTCATTAGGAGTTGCTGCAATTGGTGGTGCATTTTCAGAACAAATTCTCAAAGATATGGCTTCCTTCAATGAACGGCCTATTATTTTTGCTTTGAGTAATCCAACTAGCAAAGCAGAATGCTCTGCAGAGCAGTGCTATAAAATTACTAAGGTAAAAATGTATCTGATATTTTAATAATCAAATTTTGATTGATTATAGGGAGGCTTGGGGTATCTAATATGCTTGCTACCTAATTTTTAAAAAATATATATCAAATGAAAGAAAATTGAACAGATCATAGGGATAAGAACTATTTCTTTTTCTAGAATGTTGTTGTATAAATCCTCTTCTTCAATAACATAACATAACTGTATTATGTTTTAGTGATAATTTTCCTCAAGCAATTTGGAAATATCTAAGATTTAAATGTGAAACTTAAGTAAAACCCAAAGAACTTGGTTCTAGAAGGTTATTAAAATAGCTTTTAACTAGCTATTTCCAAACATTGAAGCATACTCTATAAAACCACAGTCTTATTTTTGCTTTGCTAAATCCTGGGTTTGGATTTTGATGCCATGGGTGGAGTGTTTGGGCAGCTATCTTGACATCCATCCAGGTTTGGGTTGGAGTCCTCAATGCTTTGATATTTTACTGTGTCAAAAATAAGTGATTTATTTTATATTATGTTTGTACTAAAAAAATATATGACTGATATGTTGGCAAAACCTTCTTTTTTTTACTTCAAAGACATGAAAATGTCATTACAACACAATACAGATTGAGTCATAGAAATAAATTTAAAACAAACCAGAAGGTAAACATGACACCAAGTTTTATTACTCTGTAAAAATGGGAGCTTGATGCCTCTACTTCTTTAATAGTAAATCTTTAAATGTTCAGTTTCAGAATTAATAATATTTTTTTGGCAGGGAACCACACCACTGTTCATTTCTCTTATATAGATAGCATCAGAATCCTCACTAATTTTGATATTTGAACATGCCTCATAATCTTCAGTATTCCTTAATTCCTTAGAGGAAAAAAAACTTTAAGTAATAGAACATTTTATCTTGTATATCGTAGGTATATGATAAGTGTTTAATAAATTATTTTGTCTTGTTATTTCTCAGTAAGCCTTAAGGTGTACAGGCTTATCTGTAATACACATAAACAAAAGTAACTAAATGTATGTGGTTGTTTTTATAATTAAAAAATTTTAAATTTTAATGTGCCTAATATAAATGGTCTCTACTCTGTCTTATAATCTTACCTAATATTCTATGTTGCAATACATAAAACATTGAAAATAATTTTGAAGCTTAAAATTTAGACACTGGTTTGGCCAAAGAACTACAGAGAAAGGAAAGACCCACGTGATGCTGGATATCAGTTTGTGCTTCTGCAGGCACAAAGGAAAGAGAGGAATGGCGTGCAGTAGACAAAAAGATTGTTGAACCATGAAAAATGTAGCTCTAAAAATGGTGTGGGGAGATTTATTTCTCCATATTAACAATCCATATATATATAACTGCTTGATTAACTACTTTCATTTATTTAATGCCATTCCTGTGTAAAATGTGATGATTATAGGAAGATAGGCAGGAAGAATGGGATAGAAGGAAAGGAGATGTATAATATAACAGACCTGTTTCTCAAATATAATTTTCAAGGGTCTGTACATTTGAAATAATAATTTAGTTACATTAGAAAATTGTTTGTAATGAAATGTTTTATCTGCTAAACAGAGCTCAAGGTAGCAGATCTATCTGAAAACAAAACCTAATTCTGAACAAAACATGTGTCTTCTAAACTCCTAGATGAGAATTTCTATTTTTTCTTTCATCTATTTTCATATCCTAAAGGAGGTAGAATTTTATACAACTTTTAAAAAGAACCAAAGGGTTTACTATTATTTGTTAAAAATGAATATTAATATTATAATATCAAATGGATCTAGGCTTTAGGTCTAAGAGGAATGAAAGTTATAGCCCATTCTGTCATCATTTAAAATATGCTTTAGGGATTTAGGGATTCAGAATTTTCAAGTAGCTTTCTTAGATTGTGATGCTTTATTTGTTGAGGATTTCCTATTTCTGCTTTGAAACCTGAATACTGTCAACTGTATCTTCATTCTCACCCTCACAGGTCAGACTCTGTCTTTTGATTAGCAGAATGGAATTCAGCTCCTAATAGGCCCTATGTTAATGCCTTCTTGAAGAATGTAACACATGAAGTTGCTCAAAAAATAATGAACAAATAGTCATACTAAGAAAAACGAGGAGAATTGTTGACAATTATTGATGATTTAATCTTCCTCTTATGTAGTAATTTTACTTATGCTAATGAGTTTGTTTCCTTTGTGATCTTCCAAATGGATTTTTACAATATAGAAATATATAAAATTTCCATGTTATTACCTTGGAAATGTTTTGTTGCTTAAACTACAGCCCAAAATGTGATTATTTGTAATACTCAAATATTACCTTTTTTTTTTTTTTGATCTTCTGAAGTCTGTAATTGGAAGCCCATACAGGACTGGTTGATGTGCCATGGATGGACCATTGCAGACAGCAAAGTGATGGTCTTAGGGTGTCCTGTACTTTGACTACTTCCCTGAGAAATAAAGAATAAGACCAGAGAACATAGCACTCACCCACTTCAGGATTTTCTCAGCATCACAAAAGCTTATTCAGGCGTGTAACCCTGCTTCTTTGTAAACTAGCCTTGTGTCTCTGTTGTAGGGGCGTGCAATTTTTGCCAGTGGCAGTCCTTTTGATCCAGTCACTCTTCCAAATGGACAGACCCTCTATCCTGGTCAAGGCAACAATTCCTACGTGTTCCCTGGAGTTGCTCTTGGTGTTGTTGCTTGTGGACTGAGGCACATCACAGATAAGATCTTTCTCACTACTGCTGAGGTATTGTACAATACTCGAAGTTCATCTAGACTATAAAACACCAGTTGTGCTATAAAATATCAAGTGTGCTCAGCTTACAGTTGTTTAATGCTTTCTTTATCTATTAGGTTGTTGGAAAAGTCATGATGCATTTTTACACAGAATGATTTTTTTGACCACCCAATAGCATCTCAGTTCATTTCTAGAAGTAAAGTCTG